AAGCTTTCATAAGCTTTTGGGTTTCATCCAGGTGTGCTTGGGCTTCGCCTCCCATTCCTGAATGGCCTGAAGGTACTTCTCTTTCTTGCTGTCAGGCAGGCTGACCGTGCGGTTGGTGAGGTCCCATGAGAAACCGATGAAGGGGGCAACATCACTGAAAGGGATATCCTTTTCAGTCTCCCAGGGGATTCCCAGATCGTCGGATAAGGCGTTGATGTCCGCCATGCAGTATGTGAAAAGCCTGTCTGACTGGGATCTGAGGCATGGTCAGCAGGCAGCAAAGAAGGGGGAGCACAAGGGCAAGAGGGGGAAGAACTAAAAAGGAAACGAACCTTTCAGATGCTTGCGATAGGTCACAGAAAGTGAAGGACGCATCCTCATCAAACTCCTCAGGCTGATCATCAGGCATGACAGCGCCCTTGAACCAGAGACGGCCACCGTCGTGGAGCTCTCCGCCGTTTCCTGCGATGTCCTGCGCCCATTTCCTGCGCCTGAGGTTGTATTCCTCCAGGTGGGATCGTAAAATCCGGAAGAAAATGTGATCATCGACCCATTTAGAAATGGGCCCGATGCCACGCGCGCGCATGATTTGTGTGCCTGCATCACCCAAGCGGCCGTAAACGCCACCACCTGATGCCAGGCCAAAACAATCTCGTGTGTCAATCGCAAAACTGTCCCCCTCGTCGAGCCGGACAACGAGCCCAGGCCATTGGTCTGGTTTGATGGGGACGGTCCTGTAGGCCTCCTTGACATCGCGTACAGCTGCCTGGGATCCTGGGGGGAGGCGCCGTATAAGGAGGCAGATAACAGAGAAAGTACCCCATGTGCATGGGTACTGATTGGAGTCAATCGCGCTGTTGATGGACGTGATGGAGTCGCGCGGGGAATGCGGCGACGACAGGTTCTGGATGATTCTGAATTTCCCCGGTCGTCCTGGTTTGGGAATGATGCTAAGTGGAGAAGTTTGGAAGGGCCCAATAAGGGACTCGACTTCCGCACGAGTGATGGGGCCAAAATAACGCCCCTTTTGGAACTCAGTTTGAATAATGTCATTAAATTCCGTGCTGTGTAAGGTAATAGACGAATGATTAGGGGGAGCGAAGGTCTGAAAAATACGTGGGATGCCAGCACTGAAGCCAAACCTGAGGCCATCTGGCAAGTCAGGGTATTTGCCCTGGAGGCCAGCCTCATGAAGGTGCCTCTGCCAGGTCTCTGGCTTGTAGGGCGATGCTGCATCAAGCCTTCTGAGCTCGAGGGCAGTTCTGAGCCCCGTGAGCCTGCTGCCCACACCCCGAACACTCGTGTCGAGAGTCGTGGGTGGTGGAGGAACAACCGTTCGGCCGTTGCCAGTCGGAGCACAGGATGCTCCCTGCTGGGTTGATGAGACGACCCTGGCCATTCTTGCGGCAGCGTACTGGGGTGCCATCCCAGAGGGTGTCCAATGCGCAGTTGAAGATGTCGTGAGGGTAACGGCCCAGGCATATGGTGCAGGCGGATAAGGCTCCATCTCCGGCTGCACCCGTCTGAAAAGACTGCTGGTTATTTGTAGCACCCCTTCCTGGACGACGACGTCTGGTATCCTTCGAAGGCGAGGAGGACTTGGGAAGCTGCAATGTGCTGGGGGAGCGACGTGCCCGCCTTGCTGGGCGGTTTGCGTTGTGCTGGCTTGGCTGCCCTCGCTGCTCAGCAGATGGGGAAGACGAGCGCCCTCGCTTTGGTCCCTGGGCGCGAGAGCCCTTGGCATTATCTGGGACTAGGGTGGTCTGAGCAAACTGCTCCTCGAGCCTGCCGTTGGCGGGTCAGAGGCAGCAGGCAGGGGGGGAAGGAATAAGCACGGGGGTCGCAACAGGGTAGCAGTTAGGTAAACAGAATGGGTGCATGGGCGCAAGAAGGGAAGCAAAGGCACGGGTGCAAAGGGCGCGTAGAGCATAAGAAAAAGGGGGGGGGGGTGCAAGGGTGCAAGGGAGCATGGGCGCAAGATAGGTGGCAACGTGCAAAGGGAGGCAAAAGGAGAGAAAAAAGGGGAGAAACTTGTCAGCTTGTGTGCACACCACAATGAAAGGAAACGGTACTGACCTGAGCACGCCCTCAGTGCGCCTCGCGTTCCACAGCACGGAACCAATGGCTTCCACGCGTCTGTTGTTGATGATGCCAATGTTAAAAACATGGTCATCGGCAGCATCGCGGAGGGCCTCGTGCCACTCCCGCCGGACCTGGGCTTGGTAGTGCAGCAGGACTGTGTCGCCATCCACTTCCCTTCGCGTGGGGTGGCACTCAAGGCTGAGGTAAAACTCAGCGAGGGCGATGACGAGGTCCTCAGGCCAATCAGTCTGGGCCATGTGGTGGAGCAGGCAGGTCTTCGCCATCGACATCTGGCGCCAAGAAAGGTCCTCGTCTGGGATTACCTTCGTGGACGGCTTGTGCGATGCCATGGGCTTCAGAAGGAGGGCATTGTCTGCCTTGGTGAAGGCGAAAGCGTCCTGGGCTATGGTTCGGTCAAACCTCGCCGCATCCTCGCACCCTTCTGTGGTGAAATAGTACAGCTCTACGTACTCGCGCTCGTCCAGCTTGTGAATTGCATAGCGGGACGGGCGAAGCGGTGGGACGTTTCCCACCGGCATGTTGGGGGCGATCCCCTTCAACTTGGGTCGCTTCTTCTCCTTGTCCTTCTTCTCCGCCTCTTCCTCCTTCCTGAGTTCCTCGAGCTGACGCAGCTCCTCCGCCTCCTGAGCTAACCTGTCTTCCTCAGCAGCAGCCGCATCCTCCCTCACCTGCTCCGCCCATAACTCCTTCCTGGCGTCGTTGTCCACGTCCCAGGCATCCGCGAGTCGGGTAGCCACCACCGCCTTCTCTATGCCCTCCGCTGTTGCCACAGCCGTGCAGACAGCATCGAAAGCTGGAGACGTGAAGTCTGGCCTCACCTCCAACGCGGGGTCCAGCGTGATACGTGGCATTTGGTAGTCCCAAAATGACGAATGTGAGCAAGATGTTCTGAAAAGAGTGTGAGCAAACGAGAGTTGGCAGGGAAAATAGAAAAACGAAAGGCAAGCCCAGTCCTCAGAGGGGCTGTAATAGTGACGGTAAGGAAGAGAGAGAGATTGCTTACATAGACTATCACATGCCCTGTACAAAGACAGCACCCTAACATTCCACTCGTGCCTCGCTACATGCTAGGGCAAGACTTTTCTCCTCACTCAGCGGGTCACTCAGTACTTTTGTTTCTCCCCCTCCGCTAACCATGGTCGCGCGCCCACTTCACAAGCGCCAGCTTGGCCTTGCCGCACCCACAGGTGCTGGTATCTCTAATGCTGCCCTCACCGTCGGTACAGATGCCGCCACCGCTACCTCCTTAGCCTTTGATAGCTCTGCCGGCTCAGGTTCTAATACAGCCCCTCCCATTGCTATCTCATTCACTCCCGTTGTTCACACTACCCCCTCCGCTTCCGCCTCCGATTCGGATTCCGCGACGCCTTCAAACTCTGTAGCTGCATCATCCAATACATCTAGTCCCATTGCCTTGAGCACTGTAGTTGGTACATGTGTAGGCGCTTTCATCGGCGCCTCCGCCCTTATCATTTTGGGCGTCGTGTTTTACCGGCGCTACTCAAGGAGCCTCAAGCAGAGATATATCAAGACAAGAGCTCCCATACCCAATGATCGTAACGCCCGCGGCGACGAGCAACGCAGGCGTTCTCGTCTTGAGCCTTGGACTAAATTGGAGGACGGGGACAAATGGGAAGGCTCATACCAGACGAAGGAGGTGGACGCTGTCTCTCCAATGGAGAAACTCACCATGTTCAAGAAGAGATCTCCGAGTGTCCGCACTGCTTTCACTCATGTTACTCACAAATCAGACGATGCTCCCTTCGATTTTGTTCATCCTTTTTCACAATACCACCCTAGCCTTGCGAAAGACCTTGCTTCTGATGAAAAAGGCGCGTTCATGCCCGAACCGCGAACCTTCCTCGGCCGCGTCGATGCAAATGCCCCGATATCATGGGAAGCAGAATCGGCCAAGAATACATCATTCCTCTCCGCCCATACAGCTCGCATGGAAGGAGGGGCCATGTCACCAACCCTGAACATGGCACTTCCCACACCTGCAGCTGTAAAATCAGAACTTCATCGTTGGGAATCTGCAGAGGTAGTCCATTTCAGTGAAGGTCGGTCTGCAGAGATCGTCGACCCAGCAGAGGAAGAGTCAAGCAGGAGTGCACACAATCCTTTTTTCAACGCTCAAGAATACGGCCACCAACGATCTCATTCAAAGTCATCTTCTCGGTCTCGCTCACGATCCAACTCTGTCTCCAAACAAAGTCACAAGGGCAAGGATCGAGAACGCATTGTCTCGATGGATCCTTTTTCCGATCCCCTGCCTAAGCCTTCCTTCGTCTATCATCACGCAACTACGTCTAGTGCTTCCTCAGCAAGCAACGAACGAGCAATACAATCCTTGAGAGCTGTGCTGGATGTATCAGAGGAAGAAATTCAGAGTCGTTTGCGTGTTGCGTCGATGCAACCCTCTGTCATATCCGCCATGTATGACGATGATGACGTTACAGAGAAGTTTCCTATACCACCATCCTCGGCCGGACACTCCATCAAAGACTAGAAAGTAACACGTTTCCTCCTCCTCAACACCGAATTGACCGCGATAACTTAAGACCTGCCTTTGCTATATCCCTTCCCCACCCTTCTCCCGACTACCACCTATCCCGGATGAAGAGTGGCCTACAATCCGGCATCGTCATACAGCCGTGATCCCCCTTGCATGCGTGGCGCGTCTCCCTCTGCTTCGCGGATGCCAACCTGTCCACATGTGCACGTTTGCGTCTCCAGTTATTTCATGATCTGTACAACTGCTTTTCTACTTGGCTGCATTTATTCTCCCGCTAGCTATCTATCCTTATGCAACCATATATTAACTGCTTCCGCATCCACTCATTTTGTTAAACCCCACCGCATTCCCTTGCATCACACAGATGACCAATCCTATAACATCGCTTATTTATTGACCTCCCTCTTGACATGTAGAACACGAATATGCAAGGTAACAGACCTCGTTGAGTATTCTGTCAACCATTTGTGAATTTACAGAGTATCAAGCCTAGACAGTGCCTAGACTCTAGAGTATAGCTTTGGTCACGCACTGTGAACATTAATCCTTTCAGATACCCGGTCAAGGCAACACCTCAAAGCCGAGTCGTACTTCTTCAAGCGCGTTCTTCTTTCTTACATTCTTCTTCATTTCCTACACAATACTTGAGGACAACTAGCGCCACTCTGGTCACCAAAGGCGCGGACTGTCACGAGCAATCCGTCGGCTATCTTTGTAATTGTGCCCTGAACCCTTCGCTTACTCTGCTTTGTAGCCCACTTTAGCCCACTTTCTTCGAGGAATACTTGGAAACTTTGATCTAGCCGAAGGACACCTGAAAGGCTCTGATACAATGGCGAATAATTCATACAACGCCAACCAGCAGTGGACCCATCCTCAAATGGCGTACCGTCGACCCAATCTTCAACTAGAGGGCGAATTCGAGTTCGATTCATTACATTTACAAGATGTCAATGCAAACGGTCGCCAACGACAGCTACAATCGCAGCAACAACCAGCTGCCTACCCGAACGCTTATCAGTTTTCACAGCAGCAAGTCCCTACCACCCTAGCGTCCTCATCGCTTCGAGATGCGTTTGGTCCCAATCCACAGCAATCGCATGTCAGGCCAGCTTCCTATAACGTCTCACCTTCCGCTGCCAATACGTCTGGTTCTTATCTTCATGGTGTTTACGGTTCGGCCGCCAATCCAGGCCAGGATCTGGTCCCGAATCCGTACCGTAACAATGAGTCCTTCAACTTTCAAACTACCGCAGCTCAGCCTTTGGAGAGTGAGCCATTTTCAGGCGGCTACGCCTCATCATCTGTGACGATGCAAGATTCTTTCCCTCAGCCCTCGTCTTCCAATTCCTCGCACCAGTCACCCTATTATACATCGCAAACCAAGACGGAAACAGGGACAGCACATCAGGCCAAACGTCCTCGCAAAAATCCTTCGGCGGAGGACGGAAATCCAGAGGATCATGATGGTGACGTTAAGGATAATGGCAAAGCAAAACCGTAGGTTTGACCATGTCTTCTTATCTGGTAACATCTCATTTGCTACAGTGCTCGTGCGTGTGCTCGGTGCAAAAATCTGAAGGTCAGATGTGAGGCCAAGACGGAAAACGACCCTTGCAAACGTTGTTTAAACGGTGGGCATGACTGTATCACCCCTGGGAAGAAGATACGTCGAACCCCCCCGTAAGTGTCAAACGTCAAACTCATCCCCTCGTTGTGCGTTCTAAAACGCTTGCTTTCCAGTAAACGCGAGCACCTCATCAGTGAAATTCAAAGTCAGGCAAAAGAGATACAACGCCTCATGGGGATCCTGGATGCGATGGGCAATCGTGATTACTCGAACACTAATAGCCAATCCGACCACACTTCGTCGTCTAGTCTCCATTCTCCCGTCCTCTCCCCATCGCCGACCTCTGATTCCTTCCTTGGTCCAGATGGCCATTCAAACACCGAAGAAAGGAACAACACGGCTACAATCAAAGCAGTCGAGGAATGGATCGCAAAGGCACGGGAGAGCTTCCAAGAATTTGGTTCGTTTATTGGGATAGGAGGCGCTGGGATGCCCAAAAACTACCTTGTAGAGGACGATTGGGAGGGAGGCGATTCTGACGGGGACGAAGATCTTGTTAATACTCCAGAACCAGAGACATTTGGCAGTGAAGATGACCATTACAACGTAGCTGTGGAGGACACTGATGGCGACGAGCCACCGCATCAGGAAGGCCGTAGGCTCCGTCATCGGTCTTCAGCGTCTAGCGGTGGCACCAGTGGGACTGCTAGCGGATTTTCTCGGAAGAAATTGGCTGGTGAAAGTGCAATTTTGCCTGCCGTGGCATCACCTTTTGGCCTGTTCGGAAAGTTGGCCATCAAGAATCAAGGTAGCAGGGAGAGTAGTGTGGAAAGAGAGGAGGACAAGGAACCCGGAATTGGGAATCATAACTTTTTCAAGCCAAGTAAGTTTACCTTTCTTGTAGATCTGTCCTATCGATTTTGACATTTTCAAAGCTGATGCGCCCGAATCACTGGTGCAGAGGCTTGATAAAGGGCAAAACCAAGCGCCTCACATCCTGACACGGGGGATCATTACCCCGATGGAAGCGGAGAAATTGTTCCAAATGTAAGCAACAGCCTATTTACCACGTCAACATCTCCAATGTCAGGACATACTTCAGATATTTCGATCGGATGAACCTTTCGGTTTCCCTTCTAGACCCCGTCCTCTACACGGCGCAGAGGACATTCTACCGGAGCCCATTTCTGTTCACTGTTAGTGCGTAACTTCTTTATTCACTCACATTGTAGACTGGGTGTTGATGGTCCTGCAGTTTGCGCTATTGCCTCACGCTTCTACCCCGAAAGGCCGGGTCTCTACCCCCAAATAATGCATTACGCTCAACTGGCCGCTGGTACAGCACTGATCAACGGCACCAAAAACGTGGAAATGTGTCAGGCGTATATACTTCTCAGCCTTTATCCCGTTCCTGCTCGAAAGTGGGAAGACCAGCGCAGTTGGTTGTATCTTGGGCTAGCAATCAGGTATAGTCGTGTCAGTTTCAATGCAAGATGATTTACCATTAACGCGGCCCTCACCTGTTCAGAACCGCCACGGATTTAAATCTTCATCTCCCCTCGAATGCGAAACCCCTAAACGAAAACCATGCACGCGAGATGCTCAATCGGACTCGTGTCTGGCTTAACTGCGTGAATCTCGACAGATCAACAGGGTCACAATACGGCAAGCCACCGATTATCAGTGGTGCTGATTACATGGCAAATCACTCTCAAGATTGGTGGAAGAGCTCGCTTTACAACATGAAACACTTCGACATTCACATCTGTGCATACAATGCAGAACTGAAAGTCTTGGCGGGTTTCATTGCAAAGATATACAGTGATCCAAATCACCCAACAGGACTTAACAAGGTTTGTCATTGATTGTCCTACCTTCAGTTTTTTTGACCACGACGATATGGGTTAGGAGGTCGATTTCGAAGGGATAGCGACAGCGACGGATGACGAGTTGAAGCGAATGGGCGACAAATGGATTTCTACTGTCCAGCAAACAGATATGTCTGACCCACAAAACTGCTTCCGGACTGGCCTTCTCCGTTTGGCGTACAGCTACGCTCGGCTCGTCGTTCTCTCCTACGGTTTTCAACATGCATTTGGAAAGAATGACGGAACGGACGAGAATCCGTTTCTTATCAGGGTCAGTGGAGTCTGATCTGCATCTATGATATGACTGATGTCATTGGTAGTGTTTGACCGCTGCAAAAGACGTCGTCAACGCAGTTGTGAACGATATTTGTCGACCAAGTCAATGTAAATTTGCTTCCGTGACTTTCAACGTTCATTGACTCTCATTCACTCTAGTACACTATTTCCGGCATGGACCTGAGGCTCAGAGCGTTTTCGTAACCTTCGCTTCGGCGTTTCTTGTGAAAGTAAGATTTTATACGCATTCCACCAACACGTGTCTAATCCAAGACAGCTTCTTCAACCAAAATTCGCTTCATACCTGACCTCTGAAAATCGCTCTGAAATCCGACGGCTTGTCCAGCAGGTGATTGACCTCCTCGCGTCTCCGGAGGTTGCCATCGACGATCGACACGGCCCAAAACTCTACTCGCGTTTCCTCAGGAATCTACTATCGAAGCCTATGGCAAGGTCGGACCCGACGTCTCCAGGATCTAACTCCAGCGCTCCTCTGCCCCGTCAACGCAATCGAAGGCCAAACTCCGCTTCAGAACAGGCGCCAGATCAGCCGCGGCCGTTTGAGATACCCTCTAGTGTGTATAGCCATCCTTCTCCTGCAACAAGTACGTCATTGTCGCCTCCGCCCACAGCGGCTGCGTTGTCTTTCGACAACTTTGCACCCGTCGGTGCTGTGGACCCCTTCGCACCAGACGTCTTGATTGCTTCGTCTATGGACCAATCGCTGGAAGATGGCGTGGATGTGGCTTTTTTCCAACCTGCCCTGCCTTTCGACGATGCCATTATGCAAAGCGTGCAATCTTTGGCGGATCCATCTGGCTGGCAAGATATCTCATTACCAGGTATGCACGTTTTTACATCTTTCCAGACGGCCTCTTACCAATATTTTTACCGTCAGGATTCAATTGGATGACCCAGTTCCAACAAAATCTTGGTTTGGATTTACGATCTACTGACGCTGCGATGTTTGACCACACCTCTGCGTATATGACGGGGATCTAGATGCCACGCCATCCCTCTCTCGATTCACTTTTTTTTCCCCCTCGATACCTGTATGCTTATCCCCTAAAGGCTCATCTGGATGCTCAGTTACCCGTAGTATACCTTATCACTTCTGTACCGGCCAGATGTGTTGTTGTAACATTAACAGCTTACTCTTGGATAGAATGACTGTACGAAATAAATACACCTCCCCCATCTTATTACACAAATAAAGACCCTTTCGAACTTTAAACGCCGAGGAGGGTACTCGCTCGAACCCCGCGATAGCGCAAACTTAAAGCCGAGCATCCTTTGGCATCGCTCTCAGCGCCTGCCGTACGCCTAGATCCGCCAAAACATCTTCTGCACCGCCGAGAAGGGCATCAAACGGAATTGTGCGATGATACTGAACAAAATAAACGGTCAACTTCAAAAGAGATTATGGATGATACGCACATGCTCGATGAATTTGCCCATCCCTGTCTTCGTGACGCCACGGCCGCCGAAGACCTGAACAGCATCTCTTGCCGTGTCTTGTGCACAAGATGTTGAGTAGCTCTTCAAGAAAGCAATTTGTCTATACGACAGGTCAGATGAGATTCACTGGCTTCAATTGTGTTTGAAACGTACCCAGCAAGTTTGCTTGCTTGTTGCTTGTAGGACTAGTATTCAAGTTCACTCAGTGAACCTGATGGTGGCAATGAGACAAAGAGAAGTCACCATGTTACACATCTGGTATGTGATATTCTCAAGCCAGTTTTGAACGCCTGTGATTCTGTTGAAAAAGAGGCCAAGATGACGGGCTGGGTACTCACTTTCAGCTCGAGAAATCATCCCAGCAATCTTAGCACGAATGACAGCTTGCGAATGTAATGGTTTCCCGAAAACTTTTCTCTGCGTAGACCACCTATTCACACGTCGTCAGCTCTTTTGTGTAGCCGATTGAACTTGTAGAACGCACTTCAAACATTCTTCGACTAGCAGGAAGTAAAAACGTCGAACGGTTGAATACGCAGAACATATTGCTCACTTATTCCCCTTTGACTTCTTGCTGACGCGCAGCACATCACCCATCGCTCGTGGTTGAAATTACTAGATAGCGTGTTGATTAATCATTTGTGAGGTGAAGGAGTATAAAAAATGAATGTACCTGAGTATGACAAAGATACCTCCACCCTCTTGGCCTAGGGTATTTCCAACGGGAACTCGGACGTTGTCGAAGGTAATGTACGCAGTGCCTGCAGTTGTGGAGTAGCTAGTCTTGATTTGCTTAGTCTCCACACCAGGTCCCCTCTCCACGAGGATGACCGTAAAACCGTCTTCGGTCTTGCAACCCACGGTAAAGTAATCAGCAAAACTAGAAAATCAGTTAAAATACATGAGTCAGGAACCGTAGGCAACGACTCACGTTCCATTGGTGATCCACTTCTTGGTGCCTGTCGTACTTCAAGTCAGCTGGGCTCATATGCAACAACAAACAAAATCCTTACCATTAATTATCCACTCTTTGCCATCCTCGCTCTTTGTAGCAGTGGTTTGCAAACCCATCACATCACTTCCAGCTTGGGCCTCCGATATTGCCAAACATATGAACTTTTTGCCTTCAAGCACCTCTGGCACCACTCTGGCTTTCAGTTCATCGCTCCCGAAGTTAATAACAGGAGGAAGCCCAATGACTTTACCACCCAAAAGTCCTAAAACATGTCGTCAGGAGAAATGATGAGAGGGAGAAAGCGGCTTACTTACCATCTCCATAACCGCGAAGACTCGAACGAGCGAACTCTTGCGTGATGATCAACTGAATAATATTGAGTAGTCGGCTACCAGTGACAAGATACCACACCCCACCTCATGGAAGTAGTTGAATTCCTCGGGCTTCACAAGGCCATTCATGAGAACGCGACCTTGAAGATGCTTTCCAGGTCCCATACGCATGGCGTGCATGTTTAAACCACTAAATCAAACAATGAATTGTAGAAATGTGGAGTGAGACTGCAAAGCGTACGTCATCTGGTCAATAACACTCTGCGACGGCCGCTTGCCATCCTCTTCACGAGCCTACCACAAAAAAAATGAGACCAATACGGCAGCAATACTGTCTTTTACATACAAGGGCATCGGGGTGAACCACCTCATCAAAAAACTTTCGCACCGCGACCTGGAATTTGCGATGGCCCTGTGAGATAAAACATTAGAGGGAGGGAGATGATTTTGACCCATAGAACGGTACCTCTGTATAGTATGGACTGTGGTATCCCGCTGTCAACCACGTCGGCTCCGCGTAAGGGACTTGGCTGAGTTCACCGACGATACGTCCATGAATGATGCTCTTTTCCCCTTCGATCACACCAATTTGCAGTCGCTGGTATTGAGGCTTCTCCAGAACCTCGTAGCGGTGAAGGCCAAAGAACGCTTCTGTAGCATCTTGCCCAGCTATGTCATACCAGTGTTGAGTACGAAATCTACCACCAAGGAATCGAAGTTTACTTACCGACCTCCGGGTCTAATAGAACTGATACACCGCCGGGGTGCATCCCCTTAAACTTTGTGAGGTTGTACACCTTCGCATCTATAATAATCCACTGGGAAAACTTTAGAGGAGTGCCCTACCAAAGGTGCGAGGAGACGGACGAACCAGATCGTCATCTGTGTTGTGCTGCTCCGAGATGAGATATACGTCCCTGATAAAAAGGTTGAGACAGACCTTGGCGACCTCGTCTCTTGAAAGTTGTCTGAGCTCTTTCGATGCCATTGCGTTCGCTGTGATACAAAAATGAAAACCGAAGATGTGAATGAAGAAACGACTTTTTAAGTCGGTTGAGGATGGGCAAGCAGAATTTGCATGTGATATCAAGAATGCAGGGGAATTCCACGTGCTTGGGTCCGGACAATCTCAGAAAGTCTGGGGTTCGGAAAGTACGGCTACATTGTATACAAATCCCCGTACTTTTTTGCCCCGTACTTTCCAATTCACGGACGGCCTCGACAATCTTAGCCAATAGCAAGCTCGGGATTCCTAGAATACAAATTGGACTACGATATTGCTACAATCATCTCAGAGTTTAGCTTGGGCAATGACACTAGGTCTTCGCAACTCTTCTCCCAAGGCTCCGTCCGCTGCTAATCGTGCTCGTTCAATATCATTCAACCCGAGTTCTCGCAGAATCTCTTCAGTGTGTAGTCCGGGTCTCAGCGCTCCAATGTATTTGAGTGCGGGCTTACTCTCCCGTAATTTCGAAAGGGTTGATACTCTAGGATGAACTGCAGGCGCACCCGCGTCCAATGCATCAGCCTCAACAGGCGACAGAACAGGTGCGACGCAAGCGTCCGTTCCTAGGCGGTAAGCAGTCATTCATTTATTTCCCAATAACTGACATTGTGGGACCCGACATACCATGGAATACATTGGTCCAATATTCCCGCGTATTCGTCAGAAAGCCTTTTTCCAGGTATTCATACAATTTAGGCCACTCTGAGCGATTGACCTGGCTTTGGAAATTCGGCTTCCACTGATCACCAAACGGAGAAAAGCCCGGAGGCAACGAACTAAGGAACAATTCCAAGAAGGCTTTGAAGAATTGCGGCTCGAGGCAGCCAACGGACATCCAGCCGCCACCTTTGCAGGAGTATATGTTATAGAAGGGCGCACCCCCGTCCAAGGGGTTGGTCCCACGCTGACCACCAAGCATAAGGGAACCAGGAAGCAAGGCGTGAATGAGTGGGAATGACGCCAGATAGCGTGTGCCCGAAACCTAACAAAGAAAATTAGGCATCTGAAGAGGGCGTTGCAAAAATCTCATACCATATCCACGTCAACCACTTGACCCCGTCCCGTTGTTCCCCTCTGTATCAGGGCCAACAGGATTCCAAGCGCACACATGACACCTCCCCCCGCAAAATCGGCGAGAAGATTCAATGGAAATGTCGGCTTCGAGGAAGAGCCTGGTAACATCTACATCAATTGGTAACATTTAGATCAATGAGATCGTTGTGTGCGCATAGTTGATCTAATGGCCGTAACTGACTGATAATATGCCACTGAGGGCTAGATAGTTAATGTCATGACCTAATCAGGGGTTTGAATGAGTTCTTCCCTCTTATGATCAGAAGATTTACCAGCCATATCCTTGTAAGGCCCTGAGAATAACAGCGAGGTCAAGATGGTGTTCAGACATGACAAAATTCATCTTTAACCTGTCCGAGGAAAGCTGCGAGGTACCGTCAGGACTGCGACGAAAACTTTTCGCCATGCGTTCCTACCCCACTATTCTCGCGTAAATTAGTTTTTCATTCAGCCCTTTCTTCGTGTCGCTGCCTAGAAAGAGCTCTGGCCCAAGTCCCAACCTTTCCAAGACCCCAGGTCTGAACGGGTCGATGAGGACATCAGCAGAGGATATCATTTTCCGCAACAATTCTTTTCCACTGGGATTCTTCGAGTCAATGATAATTGAACGTTTTCCACGGCACAGAACGTCCTTTGAAGTCGCGGACGGGCGATCTATGCGTGTAACTGACGCGCCATTGTCAGCGAGCACCAGACCGGCATATGGGCCTGGAGCGAGGCCAGCAAACTAGAACCGCTTGAGCATCGTAATATTTAAGGGGAAGGAGACCTTACTTCAACGACTTTGAGACCAGCGAGCGCCATATTCTAGTACGCACACTGACAGTGGAGTATTGCCGCGGTGTTTGCGATAAATCGCCGGTCAGGTAGCCTCTGTCGGCAATGTCCGTTAACCGGCGATTTCACATGGCACACCACAGACATAATAGGGATACCTTGATTCGGTGCATGAAGTATCATTGAAATTAACGCACGCTTCCAAATGGCATCCAAAGAGACAAAGACATTCAGCCGCGAGGACGTCGCTCATGTTCGTCGTGCTAGCTCGACTTGTATTCAACAGTCGCTCACCTTTTTGTTTGTATATACATAGCACAACAAGGACGGGGATCTGGTAAACTCGACGTTACGGTTGTTTCTGGCACAGTGCTCATATTGGACAATAGTGGATCATCATCGACTCCAAAGTCTACGACATCAGCAGATTCAAGGATCTTCATCCCGGCGGTGCGTCGGTTCTGCTGGACGAGGAAGTTGGTGAGTCAACTTGAACTTACAATTTCTTGGGGGTAATGATATGAAACATCCCTGATTTTTAGCCGGAAAAGATGCTACAGAGGCCTTCTACGGCCTTCACAGGCATGAGGTCATCATGAAGCCTCAATACGCCCGTCTCCAAATCGGTGTCATAGCGGGTGAAGCCGCTGTCATACACAGCCGTGTAGTTGGCGAACTAAGCAAAGTTCCGTATGCTGAACCAACTTGGTTGTCGGAGGGTTACCACAGCCCATATTATACTGATGTATCGATTTTGAATCATCTCTCATGGAATCGAGTTAACGCTGTTTTATAGAACCACAGACGATTCCAGAAGGCCGTTCGAAAATTCATGGATGAAGTCGTTACGCCCGACGCACTTGTTAGTACTTTCTTCTGGTTTCCGTTCATATCTTGAGGCTTTTTTTACAGGCGAGGGAAGAAGACGGAAAGCCCCCCAGTCAAAGCGTGATCGAAGCTATGTCGTAAGCTTCAGTGTGTTCATTAACAAACACGTTCCTCACCGTTACATTCGGAGCAGGAAGATCAATATGCACGCCATGCGAATGGGGCCAGGAAAACACCTGCAAGGCATGTTAATTGGATGTCCGCATTAAACCTTCATCTCATTCAACACAGGAAGGGAGTTGATGGAAGGCATTGTCAAGCCTGAAGAGGTCAGTCGCTTTTCCTCTATGTATACTTTTTAGTACCTAATCTATGCTATCATCGTACAGTTTGACTATTTCCACGAGGTGCGCGACATACATAATTCTAGTGTCATGTCGTTTCTAACATTGTTTCAGTTGATTATCACTCAAGAATTTGCGCGAAGTGGATGCCGGGGCTATGGCGATGGTACCGAACTGTTTGATGGTCACAGTGGAGCGAATGCTGACGCGTTAATAATTTAGGACTCATGGCTGGGTCGGTGATCGGTCTTCCTCCCGTTTTGAATTTCGGAAGCAAGGCAATTAAGGAGAAGGTCGTTCCGGATGTGTTGTCTGGCAAGAAGCTCATTTGTCTTGCTATCTCGGAGGCCTTTGCTGGCAGTGACGTCGCTGGTCTCAAAACAACTGCGCGTAAGACCGAAGACGGCAAATACTGGATCATAAACGGGACGTAAGTGATTAACTCAATTTTCTGGGTTAAAACACTCAATTACTTCAATTTTCAGGAAGAAATGGATTACCAATGGAACGCAAGTGGAGTTTGGCTTTTTGTTAGTAAACACACTGATCTATCCCTTAGGTTTTCGCACTAGTATGTTTCACTTTCTATTGAAAATTTTAGGTCAAATCCAACTTCATTCAGCTTTACTGTTGGTTGCAAAACTGAGGTACCGCCGTTGAGTTTTTTCGAGGGCTGCGATCACTGACTTGTTATGAAGGACGGATTTACTGTTATTCTGGTCGAGCGGGGGGAGGGCGTTGAAACCAAAGCAATCAAGACGAGCTATGTGAGTTTTCATCCCTTTTCGACGATGGATAACACCGATTTTTTTTTTCTTTGGTAGTCCCCGACGGCGGGGACAGCTTTCGTTACCTTCGACAATGTTAAAGTGCCAGTCGAAAATACTCTTGGCCCCGAGGGAGGAGGAATCTTTGTGATACTCAGGTATGCGAAGTTCTCGACGCTCTCCCGAATTTACGGGTTGATGAAACCATCGTAGTAATTTCAATCACGAGCGTTGGGTAATGGCATGCTCCTCTGCAAGGAGTCAACGGTTTATCGTTGAAGAATGCCTGAAGTTGGTTTTTTTTCCACCATGATTGCATTTTAGCTGATAAGGGATACTCAGGTGGACCAGTCAAAGGAAAGCGTTCGGCAAACCCTTAAACTCGCAAGCTGTTATACGAAGCAAGTTGGCGGCGATGATCTCTCGGGTGGAGAGTGTACAAAACTGGCTTGAGAATTTGACCTATCAAATGAATAACATGGTAACTGGGTCTGTCTGTCCGGATTCTCCGTAGCTGATAAGCCCGGTCAAGTCCTACAAAGAACAGGCTTCGAAATTGGCAGGGTGCTCACCGTCCTATCTCGATTGCCACACGTAATTCTGATCACATCCTGAAATAGACCTATCGGTCTTCTGAAGATGCGTGCGACACATTCCGCCCAGGAAACTGCCACAGACGCTGTTCAGGTGCGTGGAGAAGCTCCGTCGATCGATATCTTTAGCGCTGAGGTATACTTATACAGGTATTTGGTGGCCGTGGTATCACCCGCACAGGTAGGCCTCGACATGAAAGTTTGATTGTTGCACTGATCACATTAACTTCGATGTTGCAGGCATGGGATCGTTTATCGAGCACGTTGGTGGTTTAGATTATGACATTCGATGGCCGACTAATCTGTGTGTTTGTTCCAGTACCATCGAACCGTTCCCTTCGATGCGTATGTACCCTTCTTTCCAAATCACGAAAATGCGGCTAATCTACGCTACTCAATAGAATTCTTGGAGGAGGTACATCACATCTTAAGACCCCATATTGAATGTTCTAACCCACTTGTTGCTGCAGCGGAAGACGTGTTGGCAGATCTTGGGGTTCGACAAGCTATCCGCGCCATACCCAAGAATGCTAGACTGTGATTCCTCGTGGTTTCTAGCCATCACGACACTCATCCTCGCAATGATACCTAACATACTCCTTCATTCCATAAGTTTATGCATCCAGATAACGAAGACACGGCTGGAGGGACATGTAAATTATCTAAATATAGTCTGTTTTTGTCGAAGCCCGGTCGTAGCTGCTACAGATCCAGGTCTCGAGGATTTCCATGATCCCCATCCCAGTTGCTCAATGATTAGCTTCTTGGCGAATATTTCGCCAAAGCCGAGCATAACACCGTTCACAAATGGTAAGAGCATGTTGATAGCCAGCGAAGACAAGAGCGCTTTTATGCGAGTTTTCGTCGACAGAGACGAGTCGAAGATGGCCATGGTCGCAGTCTGAGGAACGGAATGAGGACGGGTGGCTTGAAGTTGTGGGGAAGGGGAGTCGGTGCGATCTGGGAATGACATGGACGGGAAAGAGGACGTGACTGAGGAATGGACATCCTCCCACCGCTGTGAATCGTCTGTGAGGCTTGCAGGTTGCTCAACCGTCGTTATGATTGATGACGAAAGACTCTGATGTTGGCATCAATATATCAGTCACCTTGCTTGGATGGGAGAAGTAAGATATGATTAGACATGCCTCTTGCACAACTTGTGGAGCGGAAGGAAGTTCCTCAACGGTAGCTTCGGCGCCTCTACGAGCAGCTTCCTCCTTCTCTACCTTACGGATGGCTTCCCACCTCTCTCGTTCCTTTTCCGCCTTGAGTCGGGCTTCCGCGGACTGGGCGCGCCAGGACTGAAGCTGAGCCTCATACTGCTCCTTCCAGTCGTCTGATCCCTCACTTTTCTCTGATATAGAACTCTCGGTAGACACTTGGGTTGCGGCCTCCGGTTTTGATTCTGGCTGGCTAACGGCAGCTGAATCGGGTTGCTCAGGCTGAACGGGACGTGGCCGAGAAGGTGGGGCAGAGAAGGATCGGTGGAGGGCCGCCTGTAAAAAGGTTTAACGATGAGAAGAAAAAGAATGAAAATTAATGAACCTCAAGAATGGCATCGGTTTCGTTTGAAGGTGAGGCCATTATGAAGCGCCCAGCAAAGAACGTCCGTGACTGGGGTGTTGAGTGTGGTGTGACGGTGTGACAACTGTCATTTTGTCAATTAGCAACTTGAAGCTCGTAAGAATAGGGCCTCAATCAACCGTAACATTGAATATACTTCCTTCAACATACTTCGGTAACGCCTCTCTAACTTTCGACCTCCTTCACTTTCTGATCTCCTTCGGTCAGCCTCAATTTGATTATCGTGATGAGAAGTCTCTTACCCACCTCCCTGCTGACCTTGGTATTTGAAGACCGCGATCCTTGGTCCTGGCGTTCAACTCAGTAATGTGTTTCACCCTTGGTAAATTTCCGAATGGTTCCGCAAAGATGTTGTCCAGGTGTGTGTGGTCTGAGTTGTCATGTGGTAAAGCTAAATGAAGTGGGCGGCACTAAGTAATATTCTAGTCATGAACTCAACATGGTTGGCTTTTTATGGATGTGAAGAGACGACAAGTTCGGCATGTATTTTGATCCCCTGGTCTGACTGCTTATGGTACGTTTGTGCGATTATCGGTAAAGATCTCTAACGTCACGCGTTCACCGTTGGTGTTCCTTGCACAGGTATCGATAATTCCATCTAAACGAGGCTACGTTTATAAGTTTCTACATGTCTATAGCCCAAGAAGGCAACTCTGTTCCAAATCGTGGACATGTTTTCACCTACAACGACGGAAACAATCCTTTTTCGGCTTGGGATGTTGTGCAGGTGCTTCCGCAAGACGTAATTATCCGTGGAGGTCGTTGTGCATCATTTGGCGGTCGGCCACGACTCGATGCGCGAGGCTTGAATTTGGTACGATCTCAAGATTCTCTTCAACCCCATGTTTTGCAATTGTTTACCAGATGTAATGTCGCGTGACAAGGTATACATGATCCTTCTCAGCAAAACGTAACTCCATCCAAATCCTATATCATGGGTCTACTGGGACGCAGACTTGCATCAACTCCTCTCCGTTGTACCACTTCAGACTTTTAGTCTGTGCATCTTGTCGACTTCGCCTCTGACCCGTTCACGAATTCTAGATATGTGCGAACTAGAAGTGTAAATATCACTTCAACGTATATCTATCAGTGTGATATGACGTGCTTACCATTCTCGCTTGCAGGTTCGGCGACTACTATCGTGGATGCGGAGTGAGTCACAAAAAGTACTTTCCAGATATTACCTGCTCACCACGTCAATCATCAGCATTTTATAAGGTCGTACTACTCAGGGGAAAAATTCGACTGCAATTCCCAAACGTGTGGCATCAGCAGCGCGCATATACACAAAGCTCCAAATTGTCGTTGCAACAAGGTGCGTCTCGCGTTCTTTGTATTGATCTGGCTGACGGACTCTCCTTTATTTTTCTCCAAGACTCCCTATGACCATCAAAGAGTCGTGAATATGTTTCATACTCCTTGTGACGAATGCAGATCGTTCGACCGCCTCCCTCGCTGACGTTCAACCCGAATTCTTTCTATGACTGTTTTCCTATGTATCACAAACTTTGCGCATTTATTTCACCCCTGCATCGTGTAACAATATGCACCTTATATCCACAAAGTATTTAACTTTTCACGTGTCGTGCTTGAGGCTGTCAAGTATCTTCAATCAAAGCAGGCGAATTTTTTTTATACATTTCCTGTCTTTGCTGAGATCAACTCAGCTAGAATCGCTTGCCTCCACGCTTGATTGGCTGTTTAGTTCCGCGCTTTATCCCCCCCGCTCCGGACCCACTCCTTTTCTGAGCCACTCGCGCCTTGCTATCGCTGTCATCATCACTTGAAGAAGCTATTCGAGGTTTTTTACTTTGTTTCATTGGCTGGGGAGGCTCTGAGTCGGAATTGGATGTCTCTCCCTTTGTCACTGGTGTCGGCGAAAATACAGATGAGGACTTTGAAAAGGCTTGGCCAGTGGGCATCGCTGCAGCTCCCTGACTTGCAAATGGGGATGATTCCTTTGGCTTGTTGATATGAACCGGCTCTTCTTCCGCCTCGGACTCCGTTGCAGAATCTGGGTGTACCGGTTGAACTTTGACCTGATCGCGGTCGCGTGATGTTGAGGCAATAGGTAGAGACTACAACCGTTATTTCATCACTCCGTCAAGTACAGCGAGGCGAGACGCATGCTTACCGCAGGGGGTGGGGAAACCCGCTGTGCTTTGGGGGGAGATTTCTCGATCGAAATACCGTTGTCCAGCCCTTTTGATGTAAGATCCGGAGTATCAACGACAGAGGTGACAGGTGCTACAGGAAGCGCGACAGTTGATTAGGTTGTGCTGAAGTAGGTTTGTGAAGGTTTCCTCACGAAGATCAGGAACAAAATTAAACATTGCGGTCATCCGTCGAAGTGTTGTAGCTACGCGGGGTTTGGAGAGCGCATTCTTGATGTGGGTATCGACTGTTCGCCTTGCAGTCCGACCAACCTTATCGACGGCCTGCGAAAAAGTAAGACAAAGCACTTGCTCATGGGGGGGAATCTAGCCTTCTCTAAATCAGAATCTGGAAGCTCGCTGACAGAGTCCACGGAGGAAAAAGAGAGGTGGTTGACGCTTATCAATGGGAATATGAGATGTTTCGAGATGAGTTCGGCCGAGAAACGGTGTCCTAGGAAGCATGTCTCCCATCTCCACTTGAATCCGTCGCCTTCCAGTTCAAAAGCAAGATCCTACTTTCCGTGAATGAGAGTGAAGACATCGTGGATGCACAACTGACTGCATAGTTCGATTCTACGATATCGAATGTGAAATCTGAGATGGCACCCAGGGAATGAACTTTCGACAAATGTTCAAGACTTGTAGTTCTCCAGGAATTTTCACGCTCATCCAATGGGAAGAGAGGCGGGGAGTCGGGATTACAATGACGCCAGCGACGTGAAAATTGATTACTTGTGAGGACTGGTTCGGAGGTGAATGACGGCTCCCAGTCAATTGTTAACCCGCTTTTACAACATACCTTCTGCCCAAACCAACTTTGTATCCGTTATAAAAATGAAACAAGATAGGTCCGCCGGCGAATGATAGAATTTCTACTGGCGCATTGGTTGTCTGGCCGACGGTCCTAGATAAATCTAGGTACACTGACCAGCAGATAAGGTGTGGACCTGACGGTGTCGGTTTTGACCATCCACTCCTTGCTCAAGAGAAGCTTCGAGTGTTCCTAAAAATGAGTAAGCATCATGTAGGAACTTCATTTCGTTTGCACGACGACTTCGATGAACCTCGGTGAATTGCTCCATAAAAATTCAAGGCAAAGAGGTGATTGGGAATCTCGATTTACAGTGTTTTCTTGCCCTTTGGTGGACGTTCTGACTCAGACTGAGTGAGAACGGTGAGCTTACATAAAGTAGCTCACGAGCCTCAGATGAGCCATACTCCAACAACTAATACTGGGCACAGGTATCGTACAGGCATTTTTCTGAATATCTTTTTTTGATGACACGCACAAGAAAAGTGTAGGATTCATCATGGAGGACGGGGAGCTTACTGGCGGTTCTCCATCTGCAACAGACATGTACAACCCCGAATACGAGTGGCCTGGCGATTCGACATCCACCGAACGCGATGACAGCCCCACAACCTCAGATCCTCCATTGAGGAAGCGAGGGAGGAGTATGCCCTCACTTCGTTTGATCGTGGCTCGGTCCTCTATTCTTCCGTCGAAGTATAGGATTGCCAGCGCTGATGCACATTGGGAAGTGCAATTCGGACGTGATATCGCCCCAAATGGCTCCACAACGCCACGTATACGACTGAAAGAGATGGAAGTTTCCAAACTCCATGCAACAGCTTACTGGGACGGAACAAGACGAGAATGGAGTGTCGTTGACATGGGTTCAAAACATGGGACGTTTTTGCGTTCTAACTGTGGAACCTCTGAACTTGTTGGCACCGGGGTGCGGTTATCGCCATCCAGAGTAGCAAGTATACCTCGACGACTGAATCATATGGACCAACTAACGTTGGGAAGTACGACGTTCATTATCCACATCCACGATGAGTACCCATGTGAAGAATGCTCCCCCCTCGCAGGAGAAGAAATACCACTCTTTCCCGTTTCTAAACATAAATCGGCTAAGCGAACAAGGGACGTGGCTGGCTTAGACTCAAATATACGACCATATTCGCCCAAACCAGACGGAGATCCAAGAAAAGCCCTGACCATGCTGAAGCACAGTCTTCTCCGGAATCATGATGCTCGGAACTCACGGTCTTCTATACGAACGGCAGACCTTGATGCACAGTATGTTGACAGAGCGGCTCGTCGACGTCAGTTCCATCCTTCTTCACACCCCGACGCGCCTGGTGTGTCGCCTTTACCCGTGAGGGTCAATTCACCGTCTTCCGATGGCATCTTAGAGAACCCTACGGATGCGCCAGTAATATCTGAGCCCCCTGTTCCTTTGCCAACGACAAATATCGGACATAGACTCTTAATACAGCAGGGTTGGGAACCAGGCAGTGCGCTTGGGATGCCTCCTGAAGAGGGAAGAGTTGCACTGATTGAACCACTCGAGTTGAGTACGACGAAAGGTCGATCGGGAATAGGTATTCGAAAAGATGCTTCAGAGATGTTTGATAATAGGGAGAAACGGAAGAGATTCAGCAATTTGCGGTAGGAAGAAATAAAAAAACACATTTATGCCACGTGACACGACCCCACGAGGCTCGAACCATTGCCAAATTGGAAAGCGCGTCGCGACGTGTTGTAGATGTATGTTTGTTTTTACACGTGACTGGTGTTCAAAGTCTGAATTTCGATTTGGATGTTGGCTGACCGTTCTTTCTTACCACAAGAACTAAGGCTTTCTTCGCTTCATTCCCTGGCTGCCTTTGCCACAGCGCTTATCCTTTCTTCTTTCCTTCCTTCCTTCATTCTCCCTTACTCATTATCATAACTCGACGTCCTCAAGACTATACAAAAACAACTTTGGTTTATACAATGGCTTCCAACCATGCTCGCGTAAAATTCTTCTCCTATTACACATACCAATTCCTCACTGCCTTCTTTGCAGTTACCCCAACGGCGCATAGTCGCTCACCGTGCAAAGGCTGATGAGAACGCGATGAGCAGACATGTTCGTCAACCCTCAAACTCGCTCGCCCCAGGTGCATCTCGCTTCGTCGCAAAGGAGAACGTAGTGAAGCCGACCCTCACCACCACCGCGGCCACAAGACAAGCCCTCGGTGAAGTGACTTCGGTTGCTGTCAATAGAAAGGTTGGTTTTTTCTCGCAATACCTCAGCTGTGTTGTGACGCCGTAGTTAAGGACGCTGTCAGCAAGCTCGTCACAGGAAAGGAGAAGGAGGAGACCGGCTCGAAAAGAGGTCGTTCCAATTCTACGACTCTCGCCCAACGCGTACCTTTAGGCCCTGGCCGAGGAGTTGCCGCGCCACCCGTCTCTAACACTGTCACCGCCCGCGCGCCCCCCGTTCGCACCAGGATATCAGGCGTCGTCGATGCTAAGCGTACTTCACGGACGTCTGTATCCGATCACGTTCCTATTCCCGAAGAGATCGAGGTGAAAGAGGCAGAGCTTCAGATGGACATTGAGGATGACCTTGCGGTAGACCGTGATCTCGACGACGATGCCGATTTGCTCGTTAACGAGCGAGAGGTTGAGGCAATGATTGGTATTGACGATGATGAAGACGAAGACGTTGGGGAAGCCCTAGCGAACCCTAAATCACAACGAACGCGTATTTGGCCTGAAGTCTCTACCGACCGAGCACGCAAGTTCCATGCGGAAGTTGAGGCCGTACGTGAAGTTTTCGATGATCGGATCGATGTCTTCGATACGACGATGGTTTCCGAATACTCGGAAGAAATTTACGAATACATGTGTGACCTGGAGGTATGCCAATCTTTTCTTGATCTTAGTTCGTCGTTAATTCTATGAAACTTAGGAGGAGATGATGCCCAATCCGAACTACATGGATGGTCAAAACGAAATTACGTGGGGGATGCGCCAGACGCTGGTAGACTGGCTCCTACAGGTTCATTTACGGTACCACATGCTCCCGGAAACGCTGTGGATTGCGGTTAATATCGTGGACCGCTTCCTGACCAAGCGCGTTGTATCCCTCGTCAAACTTCAGCTCGTTGGAGTCACGGCTATGTTCATTGCCGCAAAGTATGAAGAAATCCTGGCACCATCTGTCGATGAATTTGTTTACATGACCGAGAAGGGATACACCAAAGAGGAGATTTTGAAAGGGGAGCGAATCATGTTGCAAACGCTCGAATTCCGGATATCGCATTACTGCTCGCCCTATAGTTGGATGAGAAAGATCAGCAAGTCCGACGATTACGACATCCAAACGAGAACACTCGGCAAATTCTTGATAGAAGTGACCCTACTGGACTACCGTTTTCTAAGGGTAAAACCTAGTATTGTTGCTGCGGTGGGCATGTATAGCGCGAGGAGAATGCTGGGTGGTGACTGGGTAAGTCGCGTCTCGACGTTCGGGTCATGTAACTGATACCTCTTGCTCTTTAGAACGAAGCGTTCGTGTTTTACTCCGGCTACACAGAGGAGCAACTCATTCCGGGACACGAACTACTGGTCGAAAAGCTGACCGAGGAGAATTTTTCTCGACAATATGTCTGCAGGAAGTACGCCAACAAAAAGTTCCTGAAGGCATCTGTTTTTGCCATCGAATGGGCCAAGATTCACTACGAAGCAACCGCCGACCCCATGGTTCTTGCATAAGGAGCCAGCTCGGGGGCGTTTCTTATACTTGCATCACGCTCTGTACTTCTCGTCTGCATCCTCATTATCACCCATCCACGTCTCACCATTTGATCATATCTCATTTGGCGTTCTCATACTTTTCACCTTGTCCTCGCATCTACAATCTCATCATCTTCCTCCCCGGACAGCTGTCCTTCTATGCCTTGCCATTCGCTATCACATCCATGCCCAAACTCTCTCATTACAACTAGAGCTCCAAGCTCTCATCAATTCTCTCACTTATATCAAGATCCTAATGCCCCACCCATGTCTTCATGATTTCATTGTCGCACACTCCACTCTCGCTCATGACTGTTTTTTTTATTCATTCATATTGGTCTTCCTTGTAACATATCTTTGCTTATCTCTCAACTGCATCTGCCTTTCTTGCTTGCTATTCCTTGCTTTGCTTTTCGCATTAGTCTCTTACACATCTCTGGAGATCTGCCTTTCATTATCGTCTCTTCTGGTTTTTCGCGGCGCGCAATGTGGAGCATCTCCGAGTCCTTAGACCTTCCGCTCCTTCTAGTATTTAATATTTATTGCATTCGGATAATGAAATGCATATGCTCTTTGCCCACAACATCTTAATTTCAGCTGCGCGACGGACCAGCATCGTGACACTCGAGCTTATGTAACTACCGGTAAAGGTCGATATCACATGCCAACGATACACTTATAACCGACTCCCCTTCAGAAGCTACTCAACACCATCAACACCTTCAACCAACGTCTCAAAGTTAATGTCGCTGTCATTTAAAGGCCACACAGTCGTCGTTACCGGCGCCGGCGGAGGACTGGGAAAGGCGTAGGTGACTTCAGCTGTCGTTTCCCGCAGATACAGGTTAACGAGTTCTTTGGGAATAGTTATTCACTTCTCTTTGCTTCGCGAGGCGCAAACATCGTTGTTAACGACTTCAATGCTGCTGCTGCGCAGAAAGTTGTTGATGAAATCGTTAAAGGTATGCCCCCAGTTTATGATGTCACCACCCAAACACTAACTGTCGAAATTCAGCTGGCGGAAAGGCCGTCGTTAACACGTCGTCGGTCGCTGACGGTGCAGCTGTCATAAAAACTGCCGTCGATGCCTTTGGCACCGTGACCATTTTAATCAACAATGCAGGGATTCTGCGAGACAAGGGGTAAGTTCCGAAGTTGCACCGTTTAACCCGTCGTCTGACTGTAAGTAGGTTCAAGAACATGTCCGATAAGGAATGGGATCAGATCATGGAGGTTCACTTGAAGGGTGCCTTCTCTTGCACTAAGGCTGCCTGGCCGCTATTCCGCAAGCAGAAGTTCGGCCGTGTCATCAACACCGCCAGTGCCGCTGGTCTGTATGGTATGTGCTGTCTCCACGACGATGACTTGCCTTTTTTTCTTACGAAGAATGCAGGCAATTTTGGACAAGCGAACTACAGTGCTGCCAAGATGGGTCTAGTTGCATTCTCCAAGACACTCGCTCGTGAAGGCGCCAAGTACAACATCAAATCCACCGCTATTGCCCCAGTACGTTGTTGTATTGTCATGAATAAGATCGAACAATGACAAGCATGGGTAGATGGCCGCCTCCGCTATGACCGAGACTATCATGCCCCCTGAGATGCTTGCAAACCTGAGCGTAAGCTACGTTTTCCCCTCGTTATGCTTTGGACACTGATTTCATTGACCAGCCCGAATATGTTGCTCCTTTTGTTGCTGCCATTTGCCATCCCGATGGTCCAGATGCTTCTGGAAAGGTTTTCGAAGTTGGGGCTGGCTTCATTGCCGAGCTTCGATGGGAAAGGAGCAATGGTGCAATCTTCAAGACAGACACATCATTCACCCCCTCCGCTGTATGAAATTTCTCTGAGGTTTTTTGTTTGTTTGGAATAACCGAGTTCAATCAGGTGAAAACCAAATGGCACGAGATCACGGACTTCTCGAAGCCATCCTAGTAAGTAGCAATCAGCGTTGACCATGGCCGAATTCTAACCTCAAGTATTGCAGCCCTACTGCCGTAACGGATGTTGATTCTGTCGTAATGACCCCCCTTTGATTAAACCCTGCGCCTCCTGACGAATTTTTTACTCTAGGGCAAACTCGAGGCCGCAAAGAAACTCCCACCCAACCCGCAATCATCTCCTGCTGTTCGCTTCGATGGTCAAACCGTTATCATCACAGGTGCTGGTGCTGGTCTCGGCCGCGCGTATGCGCTCATGTACGGAAAACTTGGTGCGAACGTGGTTGTCAACGACGTTAGCGAAAAAGGCGCCAACTCCGTCGTCGATGAGGTCATCAAAGGTATTCTCTCGTCAAACTTTTCGTCGCAGTTGCTGATCAGAATTTAGCTGGCGGGAAGGCAGTAGCAGCTGTTTGCTCTGCGGAAGATGGCGATAAAATTGCACAGATCGCCGTGGAGAAGTTTGGTGGCGTGCATGTTCTCATAGCTAATGCCGGTATCCTCCGTGACAAGTCTTTCCAAGCCATGGCTGAGCAGGAGTGGGATATTGTTCTCGCTGTTCATCTCCGGTTAGTCGTCTTCGGTTGCTGGCATTTTTTTTCCTGATTTGCGTCGTGGATAGTGGTACCTTCAAAGTAAGTTTCCGCCAGTCGACAACAGGTGCTTTGTTGACATACTGTTACAGTGCGCGAAAGCTGTCTGGCCTATCTTCCAAAAGCAAAAGTATGGCCGTATCGTGACTACTTGCTCTCAAGTTGGGATCTGTAAGTCATTTCTCAAGTTGATGGTGCTAAGTTATCATGGTTTCTAGACGGAAACTTCGGGCAGGCCAATGTAAGATTGCCCCCTTCACACGATCAACATATTTCTGACTGTAATTTTTAGTACTCGACAGCAAAAGCCGGTATTACTGGTTTAACAAGAACGCTAGCCATTGAGGGAAAGAAGTATGGCATCCTCGCCAACGTCATTGCGCCATCGGCTGGCACGGCTATGACAAGCACCATTTGGCCCCAGGAGATGGTCGACGCTTTCAAGGTGGGCCAACACTTGACACCGAAGTACGACTGCTAAGACATTTCTGAACAGCCCGACTTCATCGCACCTATTGTTGGATATCTTAGTAGCAAAGGTTCGTCGCCCCTGTACCAGCCTCCACTGAGCTGACTTGTTGTGTTTCCTTAGACAATGAAGAAACTTCGGGAGCGTTATTCGAGATTCTCGGAGGCTGGGCTGCACAAACACGCTGGCAACGTTCGGGTGGATATGGATTCCCAACGGTTAAGCCCTTTACGATCGAGGATGTTGTTGCCAAGTGGGGCAACATCACCAACTTCGGTGGGTGCAACGACACTGTCTCGCCTAATAATCGCTGACTTGGGGTATTTTAGAGGATGGCCGAGCAACACACCCTGCGTCAACGCAAGATGCTATCCAACAGGTTTGAGTCATTTCTATGTACTACTTGAAGCGTAATGACCGATTCTGAATAGCTTGTTGAGAACTTTGGTAACAAAGGCGACGCCATCAAGTCAAAACTATAGTCTACCCTCTGTATCTTTATTTTATCTTCATAATATAGCATTTTGTTGTGGCAGAATAAAGCACGATGGCTGCACCGGGAAGCCATTTTGCATGTGATAATGAATTCATATTGAAATGAACTGTATCTCTTCTGTCCGAGTCTCGATTAGCAGCCATGTCTTCGTTCAAGGATCCCAACGCCTTCGCTGACCGAGAAGATTCCGAACTCGTGGCCAAAGCCAAAAGGACGATACCGGACAGCACGACGTACTCATACACAGAGGTATAACACGACTCATGTAACTGTTTTACTTCCAGCACTGATGAGCCTCGTCGCAGCGAGACGTCATTTTATACAACCTAGGCGTTGGTGCTACGGAGAAGGAGTTACAATGGACATTTGAGGGCGACGACCAGTTCTCTGCGTTGCCAACCTTCGGCGTTGTCCCTCAATTTCCATGTAGCGCAGGTTTTCCGCTAGACTGGCTGCCCAATTTCAACCCAGTACGTTTGAGGTCCGGCTCCAGACTTGTATTTTGACTTCGCGCCTCAACAGGCTAAGCTCCTGCATGGAGAGCAATACCTAAACATCAAGGGACCCATTCCGACGCAAGGGGAGCTCGTCAGTGAAGCGAGGTTACAACCGTCCATAATCTTGGTGGAACTTTCATACTAACCATTATACTTATTTAGACTTTTGGAGGTGCTTGACAAGGGCAAGGCCGCAGCGGTGACAATCATCATTGAAACGCGCGACAAGCATTCAGGGAAAGTGGTATTCGAAAACCAATCGACCGTATTCATTCGAGGAGCCGGAGGTTTTGGAGGAAAACGTGTTGGGAATGGTGCGCACTCTTTTTATACGCCCGTTTATCATGACGGTTATAAAAATCTTTACACGTAGACCGTGGTCCTGCCTCAGTGGCGAATAAACCCCCAGCGCGAAGCCCCGACGTTGTTATGGAGGAAAGAACGACCCCCTCACAGGCAGCACTCTACCGGTACGTATCCGAATTTACACACCTCTAAAGAATTCAACTAAACACCAACCTATTTCGCCAGTTTGAGTGGCGATTATAACCCTTTGCATGTTAGTTTACCGTTAAGCTCGTGTTTTGCATCGCCTCACTGCTCTTCGATCGCTTAGATCCTGCCCGAATTTGCCGCTATTGGAGGCTTTGACCAGCCCATTCTCCATGGTCTTTGCTCGATGGGTATCTCTGGAAAGCACGTGCTCAAGGCATTTGGACCGTATAAGGATATCAAAGTTCGGTAAGCCATGCTTTTTGCTCGCCTGGCAGACTCATAACCACGAGCAGGTTTGCTGGTGTTGTATACCCAGGTGAAACAGTTGTGACTGAGATGTGGAAAGAAGGGTCAACTGTCATATTTAGTTCGTTATCCTCCCCCGATCATGACATCCTGCCTGACACACCACTCGCAGCGGCCAAAGTAAAGGAGCGCAATTCTATCTCTCTGGCAGCGGCGGCAGCCACATTGGCGGATACATCGGGCAAGGCACGGCTTTAACGTTTTAAATTGCATGTATCACCAAATGATTTATACTATGAAGCCGAGGTTAAGAGCATGCACAGTAAAGAAGGCTAGCGGAATATATGAAAAAAATTATGAGACGATCCTGACCTTCCACAATGAATTATTTATAACTTTAAGGGGCATAGATATGGGTGGATATATGATTAATGGCAAGTAGCGAGCACGCCGAAGGGATCGGAACCTGTGCAAAAGTGATAAATAGGAGTGGTATTGAAGGATAAAACATACCTGGGTAATACCAAAATGTGACAGCGAGGATAACATATAGACCTAGTTGTTCAAAAATGAGCGATCTGAAAATGTTTGTACCATTATCATACCCATAAGGATGAGGCCATCTAGCCAATTCGATTTACCATTCTGCACCACATAGTTGACGGTGAGAACTACAACAAAAAGGTCAGTGTTGTGACAAGAGTGGATTGTACTGAGGTTTTGCCTGCAAGAAACATGGTTACTGATTCATAAGGGTCAAACAGTAGAGTCATTGGCTTTCCCATGATCCAGCCCAAGATTACAATAAGGCTTGTAAGGAGTTAACGATGCATTCACGATCCAATCGAGTTATGACATACGGAATGACAAAGAGAGCGATTTGCTGGGAAGGAAATGAAATTTGATTTCCTTTTTTTGTGAGAAACAAAACTCACAATGCTAGAGCCAACGGCGACACTTAAACCCAATGTCAACTTATCTTTCACTGAAACGGTAACGGCCGTTAGATGCTCTGTGGGCCTATCCTTAGGATGCTAAGTAGAAATGATGAATTGTATAATTACGAGCGGCATTCCCCACAATAGGCAGGAGAATCACTGCAACGAACTCATTGCTGATGCCGTGGGTTTCCGTAAGGCCACTGATCGAGCCAACCAGCCAATCAGCGGTTATGGTCACAAGCTGTAGATGGCATGAGTGCCTCGTGAGCGAGAAGAGTCAACAAAACATACCACAATCACGACAGCCAATAGAAGAATGGTCATCCAGGCTGTCATTTGAGGCAGAGCCTCCTCCTCCTCTTCCGCCGGGGTTTCCTCTAAATTAATTCCCTGAGGTTCGTCAATATCCGAGGCAGTGAGTGTGCGGCCGACGGGACGAAGGCTAGCGCTGGGACGACCACCAAAGGTGATACCCTTCTTCGTCCTCTCGTTGAATAACCCAGTCGCTGCTGCCTTTGTCTTTGCAACGAATGTTTCGGCTGCATCCCTCTCTTCCTTGCCCTTCTTTACGTATTTTGTTGACTGAATGGCGTTGTCGTTCGAGTACAATGTGGCGTGCGAGTAAAGTTGGAAATATAGGTAGCCACAGTATACTGTTCAGATAATAGGTGCACAACGATACCCAAATAGTAGTTGATACCCGAGGCTTACTGAAAAAAAGAATAATGGCGACCTGCGAACGTGGTCAATGCCTTTGTCCGAAGGAAGAAGGCAGAACCTACACCATGGCTGGCTGACACAATGTCCGCTGCCTCAGTTGGGTTATCTACTGCTGGGTCAGCTGAGAAGTGGAAAGCCGCCGGCAGGAGAACCGCAATGACACTAATTGTCAACAACGACGAATTGAGTTGTGTGGTACCTACGAAATACGATAAGTAGGGCGGAAATGTTTACAAGAACGATGAGCGCACTGATTCCATAGCCTTGTTCTGAGTACTTTAACCCTCCTGCAAAAAAGCACATGCCCAGGACGAGTACTGGCAACGTCAACGATTACATCGCCGTACGGGGTTGAAAGAAGCTAGCGTGCGCACACAGATTGCTGAGGACGGAACCGACCACTGGAAGGCAAAAATAAGCTTTCGTGCTGCAAGCGCTGATCGATTACTTTTGTGGTCAACAGCCATCCCGAGCGAGTTTGGTGCGAGAATGGCGTAGGATGACGAACTTACATGACGCTTGTACAATTTGCAATTCACATTTTAAGAGGGCAATAATCTGTAAGGGCATCATTATCTATCAAATTTTAGTTTTCCTCAACGCTTACTGCAACGACTAATTCAACTCTAGAAAAGTGTTGAAACTTTGCCAATACTTGACCAATTAAAGGAGACATACGTGTTTCCCTATAGCGTAAGTTTTATCTAGCGTGAAATGATTCAAAGGGGTAGGAGGACACTCACAAGAGTAGCATTGAGAAGTCCAGCCAATGTCTGACCCACTCGGATTGATAGTTCATCGGTGGCAAAGGCCAATAACTGCGTCACATTAATCAAATCAACGCTTTGTATGCTACAAAAGCTCACCTTCGCTAGGGGTATTATAGAAAAAAATGAAACTATCGGCCGCAGGTAAATCAAAATCGAAATCTTGCTGAAAACCACTCACAGATAAAAACGAGGGTGTCTTTGTTCTTGTTTGAATCTGGAAGAGCCCAGTGTAGGGCCCACTAGAAGAATCTGAGAACCTGGGGAACTTCGAGAATGGCGACGCTCACTGATACGGGTATACACACGAGAAGAAGATTCAACCCTGCGGCGGTTGAGCGAAGAATGTATCGTGGAGGCGAATGTAAGCTCACATGATGCGATTAAGATGGCCTTTAAGCTCTTAAGAAAAGTAGGAGGTGGTGCAAGTTTCTTTTGTGGGGTTAGCATCAAGGTCGTTTGGCGGCGTATGTGCTCGAAACGGGATCCTGATCTTGTTGCTTTGCGTGTTGATCGTTTATGAGAGGGTCCCATGGTGGGTGGATATACAGTTCTAGTCGGTGACCTTGGTTGGTTGGGTATATCGTGATCCAGAGCCGCAGTTTTGTCGCCTGGTGATTCTGAAGGTTTGCAACAATAGTTGTGGGTCAGCAGCTGGCATAGAACAGCTTCATGATAGGAAACGCACCCATTTTCAAGGCTATTGATCAGTATTTTTGTAGAGCCTCTGCTGTAGGGGGTGAGAGCGCTGGAAGCACTATAAGGGTGAGTGGAAATGAGGTGTTACTTACTCAGGAGCCCTACTTATTGTTAGATCGTTCGACGTCCCTCGTTGCTGACCACATACATAGCACAGCAATTCGAATACAAGCCAAACACATCTGTAACACAAATTCAATTTACCATTGTCAGTGTTGCCGCGAAGCGAATCGAAGTGGTGAAATGTGCTTACTGGATATATTTCTGTATACATCTCAGACCATACCGTTCGAGTCGTTCTCTCGCAATTTTCGTCCATCCACCACCTGTCTCTTGAGGTTCCGTCTGCAACAGCACTTCCCGCCACTCACGCTTCTCTCTCCTCATTCGTAGAAATTGCCTTCTCAAAATCCGGGACAGCCATCTGATTATCACCTCTACCTCCGCCTAAAGGCCGACACCCACAGCGGGCACCTGGCCCTTCACGTCCTGCCCAATCAACCTTCGCGCGCTTCTCCCTTTTCCAAAAGGCGCAGATTCGCCCTTCCTTCGCACAACCCTCAAAAACAGAGTTGACGATCCAATGCTCTTGCAGCAGGTACAAATTCATCATGGCGCGGTCCCCCGGGGGAGGGTCGGTTGCCAATGCGATGGCAGCCTAGGGAAACACAATGTAAATTCTGGAGGAAGACTTCAAATCTCCTCGACACCGATGAAAGGGAAAAGGGGGGAAGCGAACGGGATACTGTATACATCCGGCACCAGCAACTTCAACATTCACCTCCCGTTTTCTTTCTCATCGAAGGCGTATCGTCCGAACCTCAGCCACAATATCCGGTTGTGGACATCGAACGACGAGTACCTCGACCTATCGGACATTCTATAACGACTCGCTCTCGGGCCTCCGCCGCACACGAAACGGGGAAGCGTTACACACAGAGCATAAACAGGTCTTGTCAACTATCAACATCAACCAGGAAAGCAGCGTAAAAGATCTAACCGACAGCAGGAGGCGGTCGAAGCGCAGTCCGAATTGGGAGGCAAAAGACACGTTATTGCGGAGACGGTAGGTGTGTGCGAAGTCATTCTGGACGTTAGTAAAGATACCGTTCGTCATTCAACTTCAACATCGTCTCGTTAATTCAAGGGAGGAAAGTGGGAGAATGTGGGCGTGCGAGAACCCGAACACGCCAGGACTTTAGAAAGTGGCAGAATAGAGCCAGCTGCGTAAATAATCATTAGCTATCGACGTTGAAGTCAAACTTACCTGAAGTTGGGATGCTCGACGGCCACAAGGCCTCATTTGGGCCATCATGGATCAACTTTTAAACCAAAGGGCCACAAGTTGGCCTCCCACCGAGCAATTCAATGTAAGCATGGTCAATTTGGGTGCTTTTTTGAGACATCCTGCTGTAGTCTATTCGACGTCAGTCACTCAGTTCGACGGATGGTGACGCCAAAAGGCTTGACGCCAGATGGATCCATCATGATGGCTACCCAAAAGAGTGTCAGCCGCTCCTGCGTTCAGCGAGAAAACTTGCACCTTCATTTCCAGGCAATTTCTGAGAACTGCTGTTCAAAAACGCAGCACAAGCCCATCTTCAGCCAATCAGGCGCCTTCAAGTCCAGCAGATTTTATTGAACCCTGTGAGTGCCGTACAGAACCAGTATGCAAGAATGTCGAGCCTTCCCATAGAAGAGGGTAAACCAACCGAGGAACGGAAAACGGCGCTCGGTCAAGGAGTCCACGTGCTGGGGATATATAAAAATAGACAACTGGGGGTCTCCTGGCCTCCAGGCGCTCTCCTTTCCTTCTCTCATCCTGACTCCGCCTTCAGTATCTTAACATGAGCAGAGCGAGCGTTCTTGCGGGTGCTCACCACTTTGTTGCTAACAACAACACATTCAATACCGCTAACACCGTGAGTAGAATGGTTATCATATAAATGTTCCATTGAACCAAACTGATAGCGTGATCCCGGGCAGATACACATCCACAACAGCAATTATGTCAATAGGATGATGTCTGATGGAGTCATTCCCCTCATGCCAAATCCAAGCAATCGGTTTACAGGGCAGAGAGAAGTCATCACCAAACTCAAGAGGCATTTTTTCAGCACGAATGACTTAGCTCAGAAGAGAAAGTTCTTTCTATTAAATGGAATGGGGGGCATTGGAAAGACTCAAATTTGCTTGAAGTTTGTTGAGGAAATGTCTGACTGGTGAGTATTGGCAGCAAAGAGGCAGATCCCTTCTAATATTTTAATTACCATTAGTTTCTCTTCTGTTTTTTGGATTGATGCTTCCTCAGTTGGCACCATCACACAGGGACTCAAGGGTATCTGTAATCTTCCTGCAGCTCAGTCTAGTGGACTAGATGGGTCACTTGAATCTGTTCTTCACTGGATTGGCTCCTTGAAAGAGAACTATGTAATTGTCTTTGACAATGCTGATGTTCTATCACCTGCTGAGCTGGAGGGTTATCTTCCCACACCTGGAAAATGGGGGAACATTCTAATAACTAGTCGCAACTCTGCCATGCAATGTTTGACTTTGTCAGAAAATTCTCTTGAAGTGACAGAAATGAAAGAAAGTGATGCTATTGAACTACTTCTAAAATCCAGTTGCTTGGATCCATTCAGGGTAGACTTTCAAGCTGATGCTTTGAAGATTGTGAAGGAGCTCTCTAGTGTTCCTCTTGCTATTGATCAGGCTGGTGCTTATATTGCTTCTGGAGCTACTACTATTGGAAACTATCTTGCAAAGTATTTTGAGCATCGGGAAACATTATTATCAGATTCTGAATTTACTGGAGCATCTAGGTATAACAGGACTGTGTATGAAACTTGGGAGCTATCATACAAAGAAATTCAACAAAGGGCTGAATCTGATGATTCCCATAAGGCCAATGCAGCCAATATTGCAATGCTCCTCCTGGATATAATTCCTTTCCTCCATCATGAGGGAATCACTGAGGAAATATTTTCTTATGCTGCTCTTCAAAAAGATCAAAAAACCTCTCACCCTAAATTGCCACTTGCGAGTTCTATGCTGGATCAGAGACTGCTTCCTCTAAACAAGGCAGGTACTTGGGATAATTTACTTTTTGGAGAAGGCATTCGGGTATTGCTGTTCTTCTCCTTAATCAAGAAATCACCATTTGATGGTGTGTATGCAATGCATCCACTGGTGCATACCTGGGGCAGAGACAGAATGACTTCAGATGAGAGGGAAAGATGTTGCTTAATGACATATGTTACTTTATCTTGTTCACTGAGATGGGATGAAAGCCAACCATATAAATTCCAGAGGGTCTTGGTGACACATCTAAGAGCAAATATGGAGTATTCTAGATCAGGAAGTAATCAGAGCACTATCTATTACTTGGATGATGCTTATGCCAAATTTGGAGATCTTTTGCGAAAACAAGGATATATAAAGGAAGCAGAAATCTTGCAGACTAAAGTTCTGGATACAAGGAATAAAATTCTTGGAGTAGAACACCTAGATACAATCAGAGCTATGGCAAGTCTCGCATCAACAAATCGAGACCTGGGAAAATACACAGAGGCAGAGAAGCTGGAGATCCAAGTTCTGGAAGCAAGGAACAGACTTCTTGGAGTGGAACACCTAGATACAATCGATGCCATGGCAAATCTAGCAGCAATATATCAACACCTAGGAAAAGATACAGAGGCAGAGAAGCTGGAGGTCCAAGTTTTGGATGCAAATACCAGAATTCTTGGAGTGGAACATCCAGACACAATTGCAGCCATGGCTAATATAGCATCAACATATCAATGCATGGGAAAATACACAGAGGCAGAGAAACTGGATATCCAAGTACTGGATGCAAGGAACAGAATTCTTGGAGTGGAACACCCCCACACCATCATAGCTATGGCAAATCTAGCAGCAACATACCGATGCCTGGGAAGGTTCACAAGGGCAGAGAAGCTGGCGATCCAAGTTTTGGATGCAAGCACCAGAATTCTTGGAGTGGAACACCCAGACACAATCATAGCCATGGCTAATCTAGCATCAACATATCAATACATGGGAAAATACACAGAGGCAGAGAAACTGGATATCCAAGTTCTGGATGCAAGGAATAGAATTCTTGGAGTGGAACACCCCAACACCACTCTAGGCATGGGAAACTTATCAGCAACCCTTCAAAATCCTGAGAAAAGAGGTATGTATTTTGATAACTTTCATTTAAATCTCCCTCTTATATTTACATACATAGTGCACCATCTGTCCAATATTGCAAAGAAAATCCCAAAATTCAAATTCAAAATGGCACACTTATTTCAAAAAAAGAATGATATTGAGGACTTTACAGGACATAGTACCTGATTCATGTACCCAATCATTCCATGCTTCTCAATGACACTGATATTCTATCCTGACTCATATCTTGATGTGTAGTTGAATTTCTTTTTGTTTAATTGGTTTTATTGATGGCCAAATTCATAATGCACAAAACATCTCTGCACTTCAGTTTCAAAAAAGCTGAGATTTGAAATAACTCCACAGTTTGATTCAAAAAATTGTGAAGATTGTGTAGTATGTATTTTATAGTGCACAAAATATTTTCACACTTTGTTTAAAAAATGCAAACATTCTCTGTCATATATTTTACAATGCACAGATTACCTCTGCACTTTGTTGAAAGAAATGTTGAACTTCTCTGCCATATATTCTGTATACCTTCCATGCTCCTTGAAAAAATGTGGAAATTTCCATCATCTATTTTACAATGCATGAGATATCTGTGTACTTTGTTGTGAAAAAATGTGGAGATTCTCCACCATTGTCAGAGTTCAAAGTTTCTAGTGTTGCAAATACAAGTTAGTTACTTTGAATATAATGAGAACTTACTGAGAGTGCAATCTGTTTATGATATGTGTTTGTAGTTGGGAGCAGTCCTAGATCACATGAGTTCTTGGTCTAACCTTAGACTAAATACTTTAGCTACTACCTAAGAGAATGTCTCAGAATTGAGTGTCACATTTGGATGTATGGCTAGGTTATGTGTGAACTAATGTTGTCTAACAGTTCTAACCTGAAATTGAGTGAGTGCATTGAGATGAGGCCCTAAGACCTTGAGATTGAACCCACTGGAACACAAAAAAAATTATTTACATAGTTATAGCAAGCCCTTTAGCCACCAGTTACAACCCACCACCCTTGCAATGTGATGATAAATGCCCATCAACACCATCCTGGTTCATTTTGCTCATTCTTAGTTCTTTACAAGGTATGTAAGGGTATGTAATCTACACAATCATTGCAAATGCTACAATCCAGCCAAGGTTTGTACAATATTTGGTTCTTTATATACAAGGCAGGTGTCAAATTGTAATGATTATATCAGATTGTGTTGATTATATACCCTTCCATACCCACCTTGGGCCTGGTGCTTTATAAGTGCTAGGGCCCCTCAGAGGCCAATTCTTTGTCTGGTGGTAATTGGCCTCTGAGGGGGGTGATCTTGCCACTTCACACGCTGTCATTCCAAAAATAGCCCTGGCTGATGGTTGCTGGTGTCCAGACACATGCTGCAGATGAGCGCTTGCATGCTTTGCCAGCAACGAACCCCTTCTGAGACCAATGACCTCCACCCTCTTCACTGACATATTGCCCACCAATCACTTTCTCCGTCTATGTCTCTTGTGCAGCATGGTACACCACCAAACAGCAAGTGCTAAGCAATCAGAGTCAGAGCACTTGCTTACTGCTACAGCAACTAGCTAGCAATGAACCTGACAATGAATGACCTCCACCCTGATAACATGTTTGTCACACCAACCACCCATAGGGAATGTCACGGGCTACCCTGGGGTTTTCCAGAGTAACCTGCACCCATACCCATCAAAACCCATACCTGCATCCACGGGTGTGGGTTTTTGCAGGTACGGGTCGAGGGTTTACAAAAACCTGGGGGTTCCCAACCCATGTGCAGGTATCCCTCCAGAAATGACCAATGAACCTTGCAAAGGCAGTGCAAGTGTCAATCGATACTGCCATGGAAACCTGCGAGGATCGGAAAGTCAGGAAATGGTAACTGGGGCACAGGGCATGCGCCAGTGTTTTGATGGCATCGTGTTGTGTGGTGGTGAGCAACTGCATGTGACTGTATTGGCATTGACCTGCAAGGTGGGGTCCATTGGCAGGTGTTGTCGTCATTGTGCTGTTGTGATAGTCAGTAGACGAAAAGAAAAGAAAACTTCACGGGCGCACCTTGTAAGCCCACCCTCTGGTTGTGTCTATCCCCCCCATATTCCATTGTGTTTGACTCATTGTTATTGGTAACTGGGGCACAGGGCATGCGCCAGTGTTTTGACAGTATTGTGTTGTGTGGTTGGTGGTGAGCAACTGCATGTGTGTTACAGACTCTTTTTCTCATATAAACATATACGCGCAGACACTTACAAAACTCTTAAGATGTATCTAGACCATACTGGACAGTTCTAGACACGCACTCCAGCTAGATTCCTTTACTTTTCTCATATGACTCTTATAGACTAGATACAACTTGTATGACTCTACACAAGTCATACGAACTCATACTTTTGACTTGTATTTGACTCATACCCTTAGTATATAAGTAGGGTACTTCCATTTGTATTCGGTAGCTTGAACCTAGGCAATCTAAGCTTAGTTCCTCCTCATCAGACCCTCAGAAACAAAGATCGCCCTTGAACTCTATAGTCTTTCGACTTAGAGCCTCTTTTGAAACCTTGACGATAAAGTCTTCAATGTTGAAGACTTAATACACGTTTGACTTAACAGAAGTCAGTGTATCATAGAACCTTGGACTGACCTTCGGGCGCAAGGCTACTAGAACCTACCGTGTCGCTTTAAGGGCCAAGCGAACATTGTAGTGACCCACTTTGTCTCAACGACAAGAACTGTGGTAGACGAACAAACAAACAAACACGAAAGCTTAACATAACTGCCCGTTACACTTAACAACCGTAACAATGTGACCATGTTGGCGTTGATCTGTGAGGTGGGGTCCATTGGCAGGTGCTGTCATTGTGGTGCTGTTGTAATAGTCAGGAAACAAAAAGAAAAGAGAACTTCACAGGCGCACCTTGTAAGCCCGCCCTCTGTTTGTGTCTATCCCCCCCATATTGCCATCATGTTTGACTCGTCGTTGTTGTGGTTGCTGTCGTCTGTGTGTCACTACTACTGACCAACATATCTGAGTCTTTTGCATTGTTGTTGCTGTGCCACACTGTCTGGTAACCGTGCTGGAGGGTATGGTGGTGGAGGTTGAGTGTCGTGGTGAAGGTGACGCATTCGTGATTGACATGTCACACCCATCACACCCATGTCACAGGTATGGGTTTTGCTGGGGTATGAAAATGCCAACCCGTGCCCACCTGCAACCTCAACCTGTATGGGTTTGTAAACCTGTGACATTCCCTAGCCACCCACCCTGCCTACACTCCTTACGCATTCTTTTACTCCAGCAACAGGGTCCTACACCGCTGCCGATATCCAGAGATAATTGTGAAATGGACTGATACACCAAACACTGGTGCGGAATTATGGCCGCTGTGGAAGGGGTTATGGGAGCTGGTTGAATTTCTGTTATCCAAATAGGTATGTCTATCATCATTCATCCTTGAGGGTGACCAGATCTCAGGAGGCCAACACGCAGGATGCTCACACATGGAAAGTTGAACCTTTCGACAATTGAGATAATCCCCAACTCTGAGTCCTCCCTTCATGTAGGATTCTTCTACGTCTGTGCTCACATCAACCATAAAAGTCCTGATTCCAGCTGCTGCTCCGAGCTTGATGTGTCACACATTTACCAAATCTCTTGGTCATGACACTTGTCCTCCTACCTGAACATCCACTCTGGATAGGAAGAATGCTTTGCTGGGTTTTCAGTGATAGGGAAGAAATACAGAGACAAGTGGATAGTAATTTGCAGGTGGGTAATGTTTGCCATTTATATTTCTGTCTTTTTTGTTGATGATTCCTTGTTCCCAAGACATACAATGCTTGCCCCCTGCTATTTGGTGAACTTCAGTTCTCTCCTCTGATCAGAAGGTACTCTGACCATAATAGGTTTGAGCCAGGTGTTGAGATGCTTCCTGATTATATCTCACATTCTAGCAACATGTCAATCTTCGCCAATGTCGACATCTCATCCCTCTCTGTGGGCCATGCGCTAGATCATGTATTAGATTTTATTTGGGTGTAGGTTAGATTATTAAGAGATCTTACGATATTGATACTTGTAATACACATCTTCCATCCTTGCCATTGATTAAAAAATGACAAATTACAATGTGGAGACTACAACATAAAAAAAACAACATCAGATGCACCAATTTATGTCCTACAGTAGCCTTGCATTCGTAGATATAGAATTACTCTTTTGTATTCAAAGTGGCTTGATGTAGGATGAAATTCATAGGGAGGGAGCCTTCGTAGGCCATAACTGTCACTACAATCCTTAAGACACCAATCTTTGATGTAGCCTGCGTAGTCTGACCTTTACTCCAGAAAAATATAATTTGAGGCTTGCCTCCACCTCCCTCCTCAATTCTAGCTCAATAAAACTGTTCTTTATGCACTGGGGTATGCAACAGCTGATATTGGTATTATTTCCATATAGATTGAAGCAGGTAGTCTGGAGGAAAGGTGATTTTCACAGCACCATTTCAGTAAACAGCTTGTGTGTCCTTTCTGTTTTGAGTTCACATTCTTAAAAAAACTGTTGTATAGTACTTGATAGTATAGCCAAAGCCCACAGGTGCTTGTCAAGAAAAGAAACAGTTAGAGAAAGAAAAAATGCAGTAACCTTTTCAGGGGGCTACATTTACATTCCAACCATAATTATACAAGTCTACAGAAACCCTTCAGGCTATTCAGCTTTTCCCAAATAAACAAATTATGAAAAGAAAGCAGTACTTATATGCATGTGTCAAGCTATTCCGATCTTGGGGAATTGTGAGTGGTCCCAGGAAATGGAACATTGATTGAGCGGGATGTTTAAAATGCTTGTTGATATGCTCATGAGTTTCATGGTTTTCAGTGTGATACATGGCAGAGTGACCAACATGTTTTTCTAATTTTATGAACAATTTTTTTTTCGGGGGCACAAGGTGCTAGGTTGATGCTGTGGACCATGACATAGTCAGCCCCAAGCCTGGAGGTGTAGGTGCTGCCGTTCAAACTGAACCATAGCTGCCCAATGTGAATCACTACAAATAATTGTAAGTAGTAGCCCTGAAATTCATATTGTACAGAATGGAATACTATGGGAGCGGGAGGGAGGATATTGTGAGGGTGTCGCAGGGCTAGCAGTGCAGCCACCACCACAGGCTGTCGGCTTGACACTCCAGTTATTTTTAGATGTCAAAAAAAGCATCCTTAATTTGGATTTGCGTGCTAGTGATAGAGTGACTATACCCTTCAGAGGCCAATTGCCACCATCAAAAGAATCAGCCTCTGAGGCCTTCTGTCACTCAGAAGCGTCATGAGGTGTCCATACCCTTATATTGTTCTCCCCAATTTGCTGATGTGGTGTTGTATACTCAGGTGAAACAGTTGTGACTGAGATGTGGAAAGTTGAAGGGTCTGTCATATTCAGTTCATAATCCTCCCCCCAATCATGACATCCTGCCTGACAAACCACTCACAGCAGCCAAAGTAAAGGAGCACAATTCTATCTCTCTGGCAGCGGCAGCAGCCACATTGACAGATCCATTGGGCAAGGCACACTTTTAACATTTTAATTCGCATGTACCACTAAATGGTTTATACTACTATGAAGCCAAGGTTGTTACAGCTAACTGCATAATCATAGACCATGATATCTAAATTTTACTTTGTGTGCCTTTATTTGTACAAACAACCACATTAGGTAGAACACCCTTCAAGTTCCAACCACTCCACCCTTACTATCAGTGACCAGGAGTTTGAAACGATTTGACCTTTGGCTATATTATGCCACAACCACTACACTCCGGGCTCTAAATTTTGTGGGGTTGTGAATGTGTATCTCATGAACATAAATGTATTTTTTATTTTTTTATTGTACAATTGTGGAAGCTGACGGAGGCTTCCCAGTCGTCGAAGTCGATTGTTTTGGGAGATTGAAATGGTTGTCACGTCCAAGTCACAAACAACTGTCAGAATTTTGATAGGTGATGCTAACATCAGGGTTCAAATCCATGAGCCTTAGATCACACTTGTCACGCTCACCCGACAAAGAATCAAAGTTCATTGAACTGTAAACTGAGTTCTTCGTATTTCTGATCAAATTTTCGTATTTGAGGTCCCCTAGTTTACTAGT